ATCTAAAACTAGTAACAAGTTTTTTGACTCTTGTATGATTTACAGTCTATTCTGAAAAACATCACATATCTTTGTCTCTTCTTCTATCATATCTTTTTTTTATTTCTGTGCGTGTTTACATAGGTGGATAAATAAATGGTATAGCATAATTATGCATAGATATGTAAATATATGTAAGAGGTTGTACGTATCAGTTGTTTGAGTGTGTTTGTTTTAACTCAAAAGAAGTTGTTTTAATTTATATAACTGTCTGCTTCCATTTGACTTCCCAACCAAATACGTGTAATTATAGAGGTCTATGAGGTTAAAAGAAGCAAAAATCTTCATTACTGTCACCTTCGTCATCGTTTTTTTTATCGTCTTTTAGTCACAAAACTCGACCACTTTATTTTTAAATAATTTGTATAAGTCAGTTCAACAACAAAAAATTAATAGCTTTGTTGTCCTTTCTTATTTTGAAGATTGGTGTTTTTATCACTGCTGTTGTGAAAAATCTATGTTTACTTATTCATTATGTTGTTGCTAAAACATTAAAAGGAATCATTTTTGGTTTTTGGTACCAATACACTGGGTTTACAATGTTGCTGTTGTTATCGTCGTTGTTACTTCATTGCTCTTTTGTTGTTGTTACTGTCGATAGTTGTGGTGACAGTATCATTTATGATAAAAGATGAAAAAATTAGATGAAACCAAACAGTTTCGTAGCCTTCAAATTTTCCCTTAGTTACTTTTTTTTATCTGTGTCTTTCTCAACTAACAATTATTCGTCAAAAATATTTTTTTATTCTCGTCTTTAAGGTTATCTTTTTTTTTCTTAGAACCTTTCCTCGAGTTAGCAAAATTTGAAGAAGTTCTGTTGGGGCGACAAAAAGAAGAACCAGGAGTTGGTTGGTTTACTGACGGCTTTGTTTGGCAGTTAACCATTTTAAAACTTTCTTCAAAAGAGCAACTTTGGCTATGCGAAAAAAGCAATTTTATCTCGTCGTTCAAAGTTGGTGATTTATTGCAGTAAGATGAAAAAGTTGAAATGCATGTTGCTTTTAATTACAGGGAAATATCCTTTTTTTTTAATCATATTTAGCATCTTCTTTTTTACTTCTTGTTTTTCTCGTTTTTGTCTTCCGATTATAAGAAACTGAGTCGAAGATGTGAATTTGGAGTAAAATTAAGCAGTGGAAGATACTGATCTGGAGACATTTGGAAAGCATTTGAATAAGATAAGTGATCGAGTTGACGGAGAGTCAGTAGAATGGATCACTGAACGATGGTGGTATATAAATGTCATTATGGTGATTGCTGAAAATGGCAAGAACGAGTATGCCGTTCAGGTTTCTAATGTAAAATTTTGACCTATTTCTATTGTAAGCCATAACACAATTTTGATCAATTAGTGCAAAAAAAATGCTATCAAAAACTCTAGTTTTTGATACTGTTTAGTTGCTTTTACTGGAGTAAATCGTAAATAGAGGAATTGTTTTTGCGCTTGAAAAACCATCGATTTTACAACATTATCGTTTTTAAGTAAGTATTGTATAAGAATT